GGGGGGGGGGGGGGGGGGGGGGGGCGAAGGGAGAAAGGAAGGGCGGGGGAAGGAGTGGAAGGTTTGGCAGAGAGACAAGAGGAGAGATAATACGAGAGGGATCAACACAGCGAAGCACGGTGTTTGTACCGAAAGGACAAGGGAGGGGAAGTGGAAGGTTTTCGAAGGGAGAATGGGGGAGAGAGAGAAGAATTGCGGTCAATAGAGGGTCGGACATGGTGAAGAGAGTAAACCTTAGCACAACCGGGTCATGCTACTGGTCCACCCCAACCCAACGTCCACTCCCCAACACCCCATCGCGATACCAACAGATAGGCTTCCCGGGCCAAGACCTCGACACCATCGTTTCGATCCTTGCGGGCGCTCTCACGTTGCCCGGAGGAAGCAACGAAGACGACGACGACGACGACGAGGGCAGCGAATCTCCCCCGCCACCCCCAGGCGTCTCCGCCGCTTCCGCCCGAGAATTCAACGCCGTCACCCGGCAGACCCTCGGCGGCGCCAAGAACGGCGTCACCTCCGCCGCCGCCGACAGCAGCGGCGGCGGCGGCGGCAGCAGCGGCGCGCAGCGATCCGCTTCTTCGGCCCTGCCGGATCTGAAGGAACTCGCGGCATCGGGGAGGAGCGTGGGGTGGTTCCTGAGGCTGGCGTCTACCGCGGTGGGGCTGCTCAGGGACGACGAGAAGGGGGTGACGCGGAGGGCGCTGGCGAGGGCGGGGGAGATGCTCGCGCCCGACTCGCACGCTCTGGCGCTACGGAGCTTGTCGGTGACCCAGGTGGGTGCCTGGAGTGGGGTTAGAGAGAGGGAGGGAACGAGGGATTTGCGGCTTTTTGTCAGGACGGAGGGAGAAAGGGAGAAGAGCGGACGGATGCAGGGACGTAGGGAAAGAGGGGAGGTTGTCAGCTGCCGCCTGAATGCCCCTCATATATGTTTTTCTTGTTGCGCTGCTGCTGCCGCTGCTGCTGTTGTCGTTACGGTGTTGTTGTCGCCGTTGTGATGATCGTGTTATGTTGATGTCGCATCTAGACGATTGTTTTCTCACCTGGTTGCGACGGCGTTCGCGCGCTATCTGTAACGAGAGCACCTGCTGCTGACAATCCCAAGATGGCGTCGCCGCAAGCTTCCGTTAAACCCACCCGCGTGTTCGTACACGCAATGGTTTCGCGCATCGCCACTCTTTGAGACGCACTTCTCCTTTGATTTCGTCGAAAAACTCCACCACCCTACGGCAGGCCCTTGTGCTGGTTGCGATGGTGAGGTTGGAGCGTAGGGGACGCAAGAAGGACGGCTGTTCGTTCGAGACCGTTTTTCGAGAGTGAGTGGTGCCATGTGCTGTCTAGTGCCAGGTCCATTGGTTTCGGGGTATGTAGTTGCCAAATAACTTTTGGCGCTCAATTGTGTATTCCATTCTTGTAGTGGGGCGATGGGCTGGTTGCATCCTAGCTCTTCCCCATTCATGCCTGTCCCCCCGTCTTGCGACATCAAGTGCACCAGATGAGCGCTAAGCTGTTGCCTGTACACTGCACACTCTTCGACGAATCTGTAGTAAACCATCTGAGACCATATGCCCACCCACCCCCACCCCTTGCCCCCGCGTCACCCCCAAAAGGTACGGGTCGTACCTGCGGGAGTTTCGAACGTGCCACTTACGCTTCTCTCGTGCCATGATCTTCAAAGCCTTCAGCCAGCTGGTGGAGCAAGGCGCTCTGCGATCGGCAGAGCCTGGAACGTGAGAGAGAGAAGCTTCTCCTTGACTTGTTGACATAATGGGGGGGTGGAGATGGGCGTGGGTCAAGGCTGCGATTGTTGACGAAATGAAACGTAGTACAATGCAAAAAACGTACATACTACAGCTCTTGCGTATGACCAAGGGGGCACCGTGGGTAGATGTCTTCCCCGGTAGGTAGACTCTCCCCCGGCCGCACACGGAAGAAGCGTTACCCCCTTTTTCCAGACCCCCCCACTGACGATTGTTTCGATCGTCGCGGCTGTAATTTTCCTCGCGGAAATGACAACTTATTCACAGGGTAGGAACGGTGCTTCTGGCTAGAAATAAACTTGCGCCGAGAGGGCAAGCCCCAGGCCCCGAGGATCAAGGATCTGAGACATTGAAGTCCGCCCGCACCGTTACTGGGCCTGGTCGGCGATAAATCACGGTGCTATGTACTCAAGTCTCAGTGGACCGGATGTGAGGATATATTGTGTATTGGCTATGGTCGTGCATGAGAGTCAACCCCCCCACCCCCCCCCGTTTGCCGTTGCTTTCCGACAGCGGTGGCGGGCGCGAGGCGCACCCCGTGCTCCACTGCCGGTTCCGGAGCCATTTCGACATCGAGCAGGTGGAGCGCGCGCTGGAGAAAAACGTCATTAACGCCCCCACCAACGTGGCTCGGTGGTGCAAGAGGTGGCAGAGGCAGTAGGAGTTAAGGCTCTAGCAACCGTACGGTCCTGATCGTTGGTGGCTATTCGGGAGTATATTGATCGATGAATGTATCGATCGAGCAGTAGATGTAATGTCGATCGTCGTGAGAGCGAGACTCTTTGTCTGCCCAAAGCAAACTTGTGTTTTCATCGTCGGAGAGATTGAACTTTTGGCCTGGTGTAAAAGAGCAGCCAACCCCTTTGTCAAAGCTATTGCCGTTAGTTCCGGATTATATCAGAGGTTTGTCCAGAGGGGTCAAGGGTTTAGAACAACCTAGAATGAATGTGATGTTGGCTCTCACGAGCACACACGGTGGTCTCGTGAATCGGCCCAGAACATCAGTCTAGGATGAAAGCGACGCGTTGCAAAGCTCGTTGTTAGTAAACCATAATCGACTTCGTAAGTCGCGAGGGAAGGGATTGCTGTACCCTTCTCGCGATAAAAATACCTCGGGCAGGAACCGCAGGAGGGGGTCCAGCCCCCCCTCCTATGTGACCCCAGACGGGTCGTCTAGCTAGTAGAAGTAAAGGATAGGGGCCAGAGGGGCAGACGACAGAATCCGATGGTGGGAGAAAAAAAAAAATGTTGTGTGTACGATAGCATTTTTGCTTCAAGAAGCAGTATTTGGCGGTGCTGTTTGGAGCAGTCGGGGAGAGAGCGGTGGTGTTGCGGGGGGGCTGTTCGGAGCAGTCGGGGGGAGAGCGGCTGGTTTCGTGCAGGCTGTTTGATCGCTAGAAAGGGCAGCTGGATTGATTCCAAGACAGCACATGCGAACCGGTAAGCGCCGCAGAAGCGTTGGGGCTAAAGCAGAGTAGAATAGGCATCTGTTAATAGCTTCACGGAAGGAATACAGTACGCACCGCCACCACTTGCAAACCCGGAAGTTTCAGCAAGAATTAAGCTTCGAAACAAGTAGCTGTCGTATTTAGTTCGGCCACTGGAACAGACAGGTGCGCGTGATGAATCCTGCAAGTACACATAACTTGCATATTCGATTCTGGGATACCAACCTGCGAGAAAAATAGGAATAAGATTTGGGCCTCGGGGCAAAACAAGAGTTTCTGGGGCGGCGGCGCGTTTGTACTGATGTGTTCTCGCATGCATGTCCAACCGACAGAGAGAGCTGTTGATGACTACCATCTACCGTTTTGACGACGCAAAACCTTGCGTCAAGCCTGGGACCCCACGGTGCAAAGCCGGGATTTCCACCTGGGCTCTTGTTTCGCATTGTTCCGCCAGACCTCGTCGGACTGCCTGTTGAAAAGCGCGTGATAAAAAGAGACGCATGTTTATACTTGTACATGCCTCCCTTCCAGCTATTCGCTATGAAATTCGGTGGGCACGGCGTCTCTCCGGAGTCCCGCGTTTTTTTCAGCCATTTGATGCCCGTATACCAACCGATTGCCGAGGGCAACCATGATCATCTGATGTGTTTCATTCATGCAGTGTACACGGGGGTTTCTGCTGGTGGACGGGTGCGGAGATGTGTATACAGATCAAGGATACAAAGTACACACCCAGGCACAACATTTCTTCGCGGTGCGGCAACAGCTGTCTCCATGTTGCTTCTGCCCCTCAAGGCAGAAACAACACCGATTCGCAACTACTGTAGAACGGCTTCGTTTGTTGCCGGAGACAAGCGCTGTGAAGTGGGAGGGAGCACACGGCTCAGAGGTGGAAGATCTCTTCACGTGGGGGTCGTAAGCATGTACTCTCCGTACAAAGTGAAGGTTCATGTCTTGGATCTCTACATGGATCACTTCTACCTTCTCATAACGTACAGTAGTAGTGCCCTTCTCTGCTCTCCGTGTTCCAAACGCCCTGAAAACCACGAAGTCCAATGACGCCAACACGACATCACTACGAAACCTTGCACGTGTCGGACGGTTACGTGAAGAGCACGTAAGGCATGGTCACCGACCAACTTCATCAATCATGCTTTGAGATCCCGTGAGAAATTTGTCATACCTCGAGGTGGGCTTCTTGAGAGTCGGTCAAGAGTAGGTTGGTGGAGCGGCCGGGCGGCGGGACCGATGTACGTGTTATGCATACAGAAATTTTCCGTTTCGAAGGAAACGGAAAACAACTCAAGGGGACCAAAACATGTCGAAAACCTGTTCCGACAAGAGCCCCGACTAACGCTCGACGATCGTAGCAAGCGGTTTATCTAGCGGCGAGACACGAGTAAAACGAAAACGAGATACTTCGGCATGATCTATTACAGAGGATAGCCTTGAACTCTTGCACTCCTAGAAAATGATCGAAAGAAATAGAGGGCCGAAACGATCGCGGCATGCATGGACATGGGCAATACCACGAATTCACAAAAAAAGAATAGTATACAACCCTTGGGAGCTCCCTAATATGCACGCCCCCAGCCTGGTCCGGTGAGAACCCGGCGTGCTCCGTCCCGGCTTTGTAGGGATGCGAGGTCAATGGTCTAACGACTACGGCATGCACGACTATGAGTACACCCCCCCCCCCCCGGTGTTTGCCTATCGGGATTGGGTTTTCGTCGCTTGGCAACGACGTTGTAAAACAAGCCAATTCACTTCGTGAACTCGGCAACCAGGTTACCGTTTTTTTTTTTTTCCTCCGTTTATTTTTTTTGGGCGGTAACCATAATGATGGTTGAGTAGATCATGTTGTGCGGGGTGAACCCTCACTCCGCGCAAGGGGGATGATCGCACCACGTTGTGTTAAAATGGTCAAGCACCCTCGAGGCAGTTACACAGTGCTTACAACTGTCTCTGGAAGTGAAAGCACCAGAAAATAAATTAATTCATACGCAGCTGTCATCCGTACGCAAGGAAGTAAGCACAAGATGCCGAACACCCTTAGCAGGATGCAGCGCACCCTTCATGCGACTCGCCGAATATCTCACGGCGCTTCGCGCTTGGTGATGTGAGAGCCTGGTCCGGTGAGAACCCGGCGTGCTCCGTCCCGGCTTTGTAGGGATGCGAGGTCAATGGTCTAACGACTACGGCATGCACGACTATGAGTACACCCTCCCCCCCTTGCACGAGCCTGGTCCGGTAAGAACCCGGCGTGCTCCGTCCTGGCTTTGTAGGGATGCGAGGTCAATGGCCTAACGACTACGGCGTGCACGACTGTGAGTACCCCCCCCCCCCTCCCCCCCCTTCCCGGCTACCTACGCTTCCTCACAAACTCTTTTCGTCAACTTAGAGAACAAAAAAGCCGGGTTGCTAACAGAAGAGCCCCGCCCAAAAACTATTTTTCTCAAATGACTGCCCCGCAGAGCCAACCTTGTTTATGGGCACATCGCTATCTGCTTCGACTCAAGTAACTCGTGGCAAATACAATTCGTGTCCGCGCAACAAACCTTCCGAACCGTGAAAGACTTTTTGAGATACGGACGAAGGGAAGGGGACGGATCAAAGGAGAGGACAACCATGGCGGGTCGGAAGGTCGACTTCTTCCTATTCAGGGCTGTGCGGTAGATCGCTTGTTCATTCGATCACCCTATACCCCACGGAACGGACCAAATGATTAGTGGACACAAGAAAAACTTTCAAAAACTCTCCAACAAATCGCGACTCGGGAGTGTAGCATTCTTCACGCCCTTCGGCAATGAAAGTACACAATAGGTCGGGGATTCGTTTGGAAGTGTACCGCCCCCTACTTCCCTCCCCCCTTGCGTGCTTGTCTCCTCGTCAGCCGTTCGGACGCCGATCACTACCGCGCNAATCCTCTCCAGCAAGTTTGAGCCATGGGATCGCCGCAAGCAAAAAAGTATTCGAGGCTGTGGGACACGTAAGGGGATACCAAATGGACCGCAACACATAAGACATCATTGTCCCCTCAAGTCTGGATGAACAGGGCCAAACGCGTTACAAGATGAACAGAAGTGCTCTCCCGCAACGCCGCCCACAACGACTCAAAACAACGGACAAGACTTTTGACGGTGCGGACGTGTCGACCAGAGAAAACGTAAGTGTTGCAAGATTGCCCGACGAATGCCTTGATTAGTCACTTCTGACGGGGCCGGTTTTTCACCACTACCGACAACAACAGCAAGGCCAGCATAACAAACAGCCACGAACAGCAAAGACTCAACACGTCCCCTTCGGCCACTGTGGCTACATCACGAACGGGTACAAGTTCTCTGTAAGTTTGCATGTACATTTCCTGAAGAGTGGGATGACCATTGGACGTCCCTCTTAGCCCACCTTCGCAAAGCTAGGGTTAGCGCTGATCGTCGACGACACCTCGCCAGCCTCCACCGCACTAATGGTTCCCTCGTTCGCCTTGAGCGCGTAGGGCAGGTCGAGGATCGAACCGCTGTGGCAGCAGTCCATCACCACGGTCAACGTAACTCCCTCGGGCAGGACCATCACCAGCTGTGTAGAGACATAAAAAAAAATGAGGGTTGCCTTTTCTACGTCAGGTTTCTGCGGGTTGGAAAATTGCGTTATATCGAATAATGGAATCGATGGGCCAATCACACGCCGAGGATGCCGTTGCCACCAATGACACGCGCCAGCGCGCCATACAACACTTCTCGTCCAACGCCTCTGATATCCGTCCGCATCAATCGAACGGCTCAGCGCAACGCACGCCAGAGAACACGCCTCGTCAAACACCTCCAAGACTGGAAAATTAATAAAACAGAACAAGCATTTACAAGAAAACTTGCGGGTGGCATGCATGGGAAACCACGACGCCCCAAAAACGGCACGAACCTCCTCAAGGATCTCGTCGTCAGTGATCTGCCCAGACGACTTGTAGTCGACGGGCACCAGCGTCTCGTCCATGTTGTCGGCCTCATCCCCCGAGGTGTCCTTCACGGAGCCGCCGTGGCCTTCATTTCATGAGAAGGGCAGAGAAAGGGGGGGGGGCGGGGGTCTAGTCACGCTTTAGTGAGGAACCCTGGCTGACAAACATTCACTCGCCGACGGAATTACTCTCACATTATCGGCCACCTATCCACACAGCACGAAGAAAGGACGTCATGTTCATACAGTCGTGGGCCCGATACAAGAGGGTGGTGCGACAAAGGCCCTCGACCCTCACAAATGGGAGCCCCCTCATACACCGGAATATGAGAGTACCCAGCTACCTGTAGCGGACCAAGTCCCTGACAACCAATCTCGAGCCTCATATGTCGGAGCCCCCTCTCGTAAGGTACCCTCTTTATATCTGAGTCACGTCTGTAATACTCTGGTAATACCCTCCAGGGGGCACACCTCGTGTAGTACGGACGGATGTATGGAAATCTCAATGTAAAACCGCCACAGAATCCTCACCTGAGTAGTGCATGAAGAGAGAGTCCCCCGCCTTCGCATCCGCCGTCAACCATCTGAAAACAGCGAGCAACCCATGCATGTGATGCGCACAAGGGGGTGCGGTGTCCGTCTACCTCGAGTTCTTGGGTGGTTGTGATGCAACGCGACGGAGGGTACGAGGCCAAGACCATATCCCTGTTGTATTCCCTGCGACGATGTAACAGTACTAGCGCTCACAGCACAAAACGAAATAAAAGTCGCTCCGGGAAACCAAACCAAGCACTGCCATATAGACGAGGTACCATCTGATGGCGGGTCTACGGCAACAACACAGCAGCAAGCCGTTTCGCTCTCGTACGCAGTGTTACGGGTCGCTAGCTGCACTGCACTGACGGCAAATGATTTCCTTGTGCTACAGTATCTGTCACGAGGGACGGACGTCCAGCGTGACCCATCCCCATCCCTGCACACTGCTTCGTCCTGAACGCCATAAGGTATAAAAATAATAATAAAAAATATATATATAGGGAGTTTCAATCAATTGGGAGATTCAAACATTTGGAAGTTCCAATTGTTCCAATTGTCAGAGTTTCAAACATTTGGGAGTTCCAATTATTTGGGAGTTTCAATTATTTGGTTCGCGCGTCGACCGTGCAGCCTAGCCTTGTCTATCGGAAACATCCAGCAGGGGGCTACTAGCTCCTCGAGCGTCAAGCTAGCTGGCCTGATGGACCAGATGTTCACTGCTGTCACCTTGCTGATCAAGGACCAGAGCGTCACCCGGCTGTGTGACCTTCCAGCGTGGTCGAACTCTGACCAGGACCACCCCGTCTCAACCGGGCAGGGACAATATGCACCTGGGTGGCAATGGGAAAGAGCTCATTCCCAAAGGTCACCCAGGGGCGCTCTGCCTTTGCCCTCTGGGAGGGGTTGGTCATGGTCATGGTCGGAGTTCGACGACCCTCGAAGGCCACACAGACTTTTTTCTGAGCAATCTGCATCACCCGAGTTATCCGGCCGCGGTCACCCGCTGGCGGTGTTACGACGGTGCTAAGCGCCTCCATCCACTTCGCCGCCAGCATAGTTGCCGTCGCTCTGGCGAACCCAGTTCAGGATGGGAACGCCTCCATGCTGCGCTCCGTGGGGTACAGCCTGTACCGCACAGGTTGTACCCCACGGAGCACAGCATAGAGGCGTTCCCGTCAGGAACGAGGGTCACCAGAGCGACGGCAGCTGTGCTGGCGGCGAAGTGGATGGAGGCGCTTACCCCCGTCGTACCTGCGCGCCGAGAAACTTCCAGGAAATTGCGCAACGTAGAAATCCAATAACAACAAACGAGGGGCTACGTTGGCGTTGCGCGTTGTTTTCGAGGGGTAACCGGAAAATGTTCGACCCCAGCGGGAGCGACTTCGTGTTTATTCGAAGAGGTGCCACCATTCGTTGCCGCCTTCTCAACGTTGGAAAACCTTTTACGTGACAAATGTGTGCCGCACCTGAACCCTTCGATGACGCCCTTGCGGTCGGGCATGTCGTGGACATTGTCGTCCATCAGGACCTTGCAGTCCGCTGGGTCCATGCTGTACCCCTGTAGACGAAAGAACCAACAGAATACTGGCTTAACGACACGCGCCAACATACTAGGCTCTAATTCTGCATGCGCACGACACATACAACTACTGCAACCTATGGACAGAACCGTTTGGTTAGGCAAGCGTGTCCGTTCGCGTTTCTTATCGCGCTATGAGACTGACGTATTCTCATTGGTCAGCCGGTCAGTGCGGTCGGTACAAAACAAAAGAACACACACATATGATGCACCACAAGCGTTTTCGCGATAGTGTCCCGCTTCAAAACCAGCGTCTATTTTCATTGGTTACGTAGCGTGGAAACGGCAATTCAAGAAACACAACCACATGATACACAGGCATCAACTATTCGATAAAGTTACACCATTAGAGGACTAGTCAGCGCTGACTAGTCTAATGGTGTAACTTTAACGAATAAAATATATGCTCAGAGCTCATTTGTACCCGGCTGGATCACATTTATGGGGTTTACGGCTTGAATCTCCGGGGACGGACCCCTCGCCAGGCGCTGACTGAAAAGAACATAAAGGTGCTTGGTAAAGTGAGTAGTCGGGATTCGAACCCGTGCGTGAAACTTTTGTCGACGATTGATAAACCATTTGTCTAGTCGGCGAACATAATGGTGCTTGAAAAAGTGGGCAGCCCGGATTCGAACCTACACAAATGGTTTAACCGTTGCACCATTATGTTCTTTTCAGTCAGCGCTGACTAGACAAATGGTTGAACAATTGGCGACAAAAGTTTCACGCACGGGCTCGAATCCCGGCCACTCACTTTCCCAAGCACCATTATGTTCTTTGCAGTCAGCGCCTCAGCGCCTGGCGAGGGGTCCGTCCCCGGAGATCCAAGCCGTAAACCCCAAAAATGTGATCCAGCCGGGTGCTAACGAGCTGAGCGTATATCTTTTATTCGATAAAGTTACACAATTAGACTAGTCAGCGCTGACTAGTCAAATGGTGTAACTTTATCGAATATCAACAGCTCCGCCATAACAAAGCGTCTCGATCCTTGTCTCCTCTCCTTGTCTCCTCTCACGTGGGTGGTGATGTACTCCTTCATCATGTCCACGTCGTTGTGGCAGCCAGCCAGCTCTCCCTGCTGCCCGATGTAGTTGATGCCGATGAGAAGGCACTTGGTGCTTCCGCCACCCTTCCCGCGTCGAATCGGACGCAGAGGCGGCAAGGAACGCGCAAGAGGAGAGGGATGAAGAAAAGGAGCACATCAAGCTGAACGTCAACGAGGGTAGCAGCAGCAGCAGCAGCAGCAGAACAAGTCCGACGAGCGGCCACAACGCCAACCATACAACAACAAGCGGGCAGTTGTCGAAGAGACACCAACAAGAGCGAAAGGAATGAAAAAAAGGCAAAGACCAACCCCACACCCACGACCCAAGATGTCTCGGCATCCAAACTAGGCAACACATGCATACGCGCAACGCAGCTCCGGCCCAAAACTTACCGCGGTGTTGCGGAGGGAGAACTTGTCATTGACGTCGATCTTCCGCGACGTGCTGAGCTGCGGGATCTGTTCGGGAAGAACCAACATAAGCCAGGGACATCCACGAACGAGAGAGAGAGAGAGAGAGAGAGAGAGAGAGAGAGAGCGAGCGCAACGAGGGTAGCAGAAGCAGAAGCAGTAGCAGCCCGAAGGAGATTGACGTCAGCTGAGAAAAACGAACTCAAAAGCGAAACGAACGGGCCAGGAAAAACAATTCCACACCCCCAAGTAAGTCCTCATCCGGAATGAGGCATGCGGGAGTAAATTTTGTGTCTCGTGTGTCTACCGCAGTGCCATGTATCGTTTTGAAATGCACGTTCCGCTTGCGGTCGGTGTTTATCTACATGTACATGTGTGAATGCCACCTCAGACTGGCGTAGATTTCGAAGTCAGATGACCTGTCGGAGATCTACCTTCGGGTTGTTGCCACAGATAGAGTCAGTGTACGATGGACGGACGCTGAACCTTGCTGCAGCAAGGGATACTCTCCACCTGACACTCAACACAACTATCCGTACTCGTCAGCCTCTCCACCAGAGGTTGAACCGGTGTGTATCCACATCACACATCTCAAAGGGGATTTGCCCACACGTGAACCTGGAGACAACCGTCTCATACATGTACAGTTCGGTTGTTGGTTCGTCAGATCACACAAGGAACGGGAGACTGCACCAAGGACAACAAAACAATTAGAGTATACGGTAAATATATTTAAATTGGTGTCGTACATTCAGGAGTTTTTCGTGTTGTGTAATCAACAGATCACACGAACCAAAAATGAAGGCTCACCAACCAAAAATGCAACAACTCTCAAGCGCACACAAGAGCATCGGGAACGCTGGAAATGAGCGAAAATTTCCGGACCACGGTGCGCACCACCCCGATATCATCAGCCACACAGAACCTCTGCGACAAGCACCCCCCACCCGAAGTAGCCAGTGTTCTACGGTACAATTCACGCACGTGATTTGAAGATCTGAAAAGGCCGACGACAACGACGGCCACCCAACGCAGCATACGACACAAACAACTCACAGAAAAGAAACATATCTATACTAGTTGCCGCACAGCCGAACAGGAACCAAAACGTCGCACGACATTCCCTGCAATGTTATGCGTATCGGCTGTGTCGAGGAGAGCACACGAATGGGTGAATAACTTTCATCATCACTCCTTTGAACAAACAAGCCTTTCTGCAGCAGAGATTCTGCAGAGAGACGGACAAAAAGAGTACAGCGGAGAGCCCCAACAACATCGTCGACCATCCTGCATTCCTCGTTCTTCCCTCCCGCCGGTGTAGGAGAACAGAGTACAAAGTAGAGACTAACACCCACGCTACCCAATTGCTTTCAATGACGCTGTCGCACCTGGGAGAACCTCTTGGTCTTGAGGACGGATTGCATCCCCTTCAGCAGGCCCAGCCACGAGTCGGAGTGGTCGTCACTCTGGCAGGGAGGGGTGGTGTGAACGCCAACCGAACACACGAGTAGCACCAAAGGATCAGCATTGGCGCAAGAGACAGAGCCAAATACGCAACAGTATCTTGGTGGGGAATAGTCAGGCAGGCGGAAGAGTCTGCACACCGAAAAGCACCGAGCGCACACCGTTGTTGTGGCAGCAGCAGAGCTAGCCCAACTCGAAGTATAGCAGTCAGGATACGCTCAGCACTCGAGGCCAGACCTCGATCAAACGCGACACCCAAATGATTCCCGTCTGTGAGTACAGCAGCAGCACCAGCAACGCCCACCTACCATCCCATCGTCGCTTCTTCTTTCTTGCTTCATCGCTGTAAGGAGCATGGCGTTCGTGCAAGCGCCGCCGGCCCCGTCCGCGTCGGGCAGCCCGAACTTGGAAACGTCCTTCACGTCCGCGGAGGTCTGGCTGTCCATGCAGCCCGAGAACATACTGGATAGATAGCACAACACACCCATACACACAATAAACATGAGAACCAGTGATGGGTAAAGCGGCGTCCCCAAGTAGGGAACCTCGCAAGCCTTATTGTGTCACTTCAAAATAGTGAAGTGATATTCGGGCGTGTTGCTTTGATACAAGAACAATGCGAGTTCCGATATAAGGCAAGCGAAGGAGGCAGAAGAAATCCGCCATTGATGCACCTATCGAATCGATTAGAGGAAGAATGTAGTGCCATCTACACATCTAATGCCATTATCGATATCCGCTTTATCACAGCCACAAATCATGAACCACGTACCAGCATGTACGGGGATGACGACAACTACAACAAACACCAAAAAACGGGCGAAGACGAGTCGGAAAGAGAGTGGTACCACTTCACCTGCAACGTGAATGAAGGCTGTGCGAATACACAGCACGGGAATAATAGATGCCACAAAAGGGACCATTCTTTCGTGTTGTGAGAAGATATTTTTGCTTCTTCCCCTTTCTCTACTACCTAAGTACATTCCGAATCCGATGCTGGGCTGCTGTCCCTGTTGCCCAACCTCCTTCCTCCCCGCACCGGCTAGCTGCTATCGACGGAACCAACCTACCTTGACTATTATAGAGAGAGCAGGCTCGCGGCTCGCGTCTTTTGTTACCCCGCAATTACTGGCATCGTTTTCATTGGTCCGCTGGTAAGCGCGTACCACACGCGACCTAGTCTACTTCGTGACCGCAGATGAATATTACTTGTTTACAGAGAAAGCGACACGTAAACGCCGCAGCAGCAGTTACGGGGCAACTTTTGAAGGTTGAAACGAAAAACAAGAAGGGCTCGCCTAGCGACCAAAGAGGTGTGCCAATAACCACGCATGGACATGCTTCCCCCATAGGGCTCGCCTAGCGACCAAAGAGGTGTGCCAATAACCACGCATGGACATGCTTCCCCCATGTGGATTGCTCACTACCAAAGTGCCGCAGCGCACGTCTTTTGTTGTTTTTGAACTCGCTTTTGAGGCAAAGACGAACATATCCTTGCACGGCGGCTGGCTGGTGTCGGTGACGAAAACTAAAACAAAACAGTAGTCTACACGTTATCGTTCATCTTTGCAAATGCCAGCTACGACGAAGTAGAGCATAGAGGGCCCACAAACGTCACAGGAGGACTGTTGTTCTTCATGCTCAACCGTGTGAGAACATACGACACGGCGAGATCACATTATCGGCGTCCAAAATCTTGAAAAATCGTGGAAAAACAACTAATGTACCAGTCAGCAGTCGAAGGGCATCTGTTGAAGTCTTCACATTAGTGAGTCTGCTGTCATGAAAAATGAAAAATGAAGGACAACTTTTCTGTCAAAAAATGACGAAATTTACACGCGGCGGCATGTACGAAGTAGCCCGCAGGCTGCAGGGCCAAGGGCAAGCCCTGGTCGTATCCTGGCAGTGTGCGTACGCTTTGTCCATCGTTCTGTCGCTAAACACGGAACATCTGTAACTCCAGACCGGCGCGTCGTCAGCCTTCGTCATCGTACCGACGGGCCATTATTGTGGGTGTCCATCCACCCACAAGGGATGCGCGGGGAGAGCCGAACATCAACTTGGCAAGGTGGAACAACTTCGACATCATTTTCTTATGTCCCACGAGTGTCTCACGGAGGAGGGACGACAGCTAAAACAATTTCAGGGCAATGGCTAACTCCGTCCGTGGCCACAACGCTCTACCAAGATCACTCCGCAGCAGACGGTGGCGAAGGCAAGTCGTTTATAATTTTCCAGTTAAAGGGTGACCTATTTCAGACCGACGGAAGGGGTTGAACCTTCTCTCGACTGTATGACCAGAGGAGACTTCCGGAG